AAGAATAAAAATGACGATTTAAAACTAAATTGTTTGTTGAAAATGCAACTCAAAATTATTTAAAACTAAATAATCTCGAGGTCTTGAATTAAAAGGACAAATGGAATCACCCTCTTATGGCCTTCAAGTGCTAACTCAAAGCTCTAGCCTCCTCCATACTTCTCTCAAGTTGTCTCCCATAAGCTCAAGCTGCCATGAAAATTATCCTTCTTGCTCCAAGCTTCTTAGTGCTCTTCACGGACATATGGCACAATGAATGAAGAAGGTGCTGTTGGGTGGATGATTCAAGTAATATGGGTGAAGTATATGTGGTAAAAAGAAGGGAATTAATTGAATGGATAGTGATGGAACGGTTGGGAATCTTTCCTCTTCCCTTCCCATCCTCTTTTCTCCTCTTTCTTTTTTAACAATTAGATTAACATATTTCAACAGTTTATATTTTAATTTTTTATAAACTATTTATAAGATTTTTTTAAAACATTTAGTACATTTGCAAACCGTTAGAATTAAATTTTAATATAGTTTGTAATTTATTATTTTATTTATTTTTATAATTTAATATTTTGATAATATTTTTAAAAGATTTAAATATGAACCGTTAAAATATTAATTTAACGGTTAAAAAAAGAAGATGATGGAAAAGGATGGGAATGAAAGAGGAGAGGTTCCAAACCGGATGACGGAATATGGTGAGAGCGGTTGTGAGTAGAGAAAAGAAAATGAGATAAGATGTAAATGGTGACTATGGATGAAGGGAATATTTTAATGGGAGAAAAGCTTAAACCTATTAGCAATTAATTGACCAACTTGATATTTAGTCATTAGATTGTACTTGAATGTTAAGAAATAATCTTATATTATGGGATTTCCTCTATACTTTTCCTTCATCTACAAGAATTTAAGTCATCCATTAATATAGATTATATTCAAGTATAATATAACCTATATCAAAATTAAATATTAGGTATGCACAAAAATAAGGCAAAAAATTGCAAAACTCTCTAAAAATCAATCTTTCTAAAAATATGAGGCTTGTTTCTAAAAAAAAAAAGGAAATATTAATTCCAAGCCAAAAATAAGAAATCACAAAGTATTCATATTTTCAATCCCAAAATCTTAGTTTTTATGAAAAATCCTAAAATCAATCAATTAATGCAATGATACATAAGAAATCCATTTAAACCCAAAATATCATTTAATTTCTGGATTAATGTGGGACAAAATATATAAAAATCCAGCTCTATTAGGCTCTTATATATACTGAAAGTTTATTTTGGTGGCAAGTATACCTTAATCATTATCAATCATTAAAATTTGACCTTTAAATTATGTGATTTGACCAGTATCTTTAACATTTTAAACTTAATGATGAATAATAGTTCAAGACAGAAATGTTACAAAATAAAATTTTTAGGGCATATAAGAGCCAAAAAAAACTTTCAGGTATTGAATGCTCGTTGATGATATTTCCAGAGTAATTGAGCAACTTATCAAAAAAGGAAAGAGGACTATATGGTTGATATTTTGAGAGATATGGAGAGATTAATCTTTCATGTTTACTGTTAAATTACTTATACACACGACAAAGTTCAGAAATCATTTTGATTACATATTTCATGCAAAACTGAAGAAACATGGACAAGGCCGAAGTCGGAAGACCGTGAAGAAAAAGCGCGGTGACGGTTGAACAGTGGCCATTGACATGATTAGGAACGGTTGTAATAATATTTGCAGCTCTTTCAATATTTATAATTCTTCTGGAAAGATTTACAGAAAATAACAGAAAAATTATTCTTAAATTTGAAGATTTTCATATAGTTACCCAAATAAATAAAATTTCAGTTTAGGTATAGCTGAGCATATTAGGATTTTTAAATTTGCTGAAATGACTACATTGACCTTTATTTTAAAAAACAAACTATTAAGTACTCTCACTGGCCAGCCGATCACTGAAACTCCGGTACTGGCGCCATCCACCAAAGTTCAAAGGGGGCCGCCAATCACCAAAGCTTTAGGGATCAGCCTACGATCAGTCGCCAAGCTCCAGTGATCGATAACTATTTTTTCAGAAATTTTTTCAGATTCAGTAACGCAATTAACAAGTTCAATACTATTAACAAGTTTGGTATCGCTATCAACAACTGGCTTTTCAGGAAATTCAAAGAGTGACATTTTTATAACTTGAATAACAATTAACAAGTCATGTAACAATACTAACACCTCTCATAACATCATTAACCACGAATTTTTCAGCTCTCACAATTTTTTTGGGATACCAAACTTATTAATAGCGTTAAAAAACACATTCATTGCATTACTGAACTTAAAAAATCTCTAAAAAAAAATAGTTGCTAGTCACCGAAGTTCTGACAACCAATCCTTACATGACTGTTAGAAGTAAACCTTCAACTATCTTAGATAATATAATTTATTAAAATTTTAAATCTAATCACGGACAAAAAAAATTTAGTTTTTCAGAAAATCTGTTGTTAGTGGTAGAATTTGTGATACGAGTTGACAGTGTAGATATGGGTCAGACCGCACGTTGACGAGCTGACAGAATGGAAGACCATGCCTGCCTATTTATTTATTTTTTATTTTTTAAAATGAAAACTTTCTCCGCCAACTGCCTGGATACTGAATCCATGGTATGTCACTGCGTTCAACCGCCTCCTGTCCTATGACTGCCCGTGCGTGGCGGTGGCGGAGAGCTGGAGACAACCCAGAGTCTCAAACCAGCTCGAGCTGAAGCATGAGACTACGTGGCGGTGGCGGTGGCGGTGGCGGAGACAACTTAGCCAGAGACGACCTCGCGGTTGAGGACACTAGAGAGTAGAGCAGAAGACGAACTCGCGAAGACGAGGCCGGCCGAGGGAGGGAATTCAGAGCTCACGAAGACAAGTGAAGAGCGAAGTTGTGATGGTGATGCGAAGTGAGGAGTGAACTGCGATGCGATGCGATGCTGGAGATTGGAAGGCTAAAGAGTGAAGCTGAAACTGAAGTGAAGAGTGAACTTTAGACTAGAGTCAGAGTGAATGACTGAATGTGAATTTAGGGTACGATTTTTTTTTTTTATAAAACAAATTATGATTCAAATTTTAGTTTTTGCGTTGGGCTGAAAGTGAAAGGTGAAGTTCGACTATTATGGAGTATGAATGATGAGTAATGAGTCCATGACTTGTGAGGAACGGTGGCTTTGTGAGGATTAAAAAAAAAAAAAAAAGCAGGTTAGCCCATGACAGAACAGGCTCAAAACGGTGCGAGCTGAAAAAGTTTAGACTTTGATAGGCTTGCATTTCCCCAACCTGAACCCCTCCATTTTAGGTTGGCTAAGCTCGTAGACTCAACTCATATTACTTACTCTAATTAATGACAATATCAAACTTGTTAATAATATTAAAGAATTTGTTAATCATGTTATTAGACTTGAAAAAATCCAAAAAAAAAAAAAGTTGCTGATTGTCGGAGCTCTGGAGACTGATCGTTGCCAACTACAAGAGCTCTGATGATTAGCGACCCACCTCAACTCCAACGGTGGCCGTCGGGTTAGTAAGAGTATTTGATGACTAGCGACCAGTGAGCTGGTAAGGGTATTTGATGGTTTTTTTCAAACAAAAAAAATAATGGGCAACATGGTCATTTTAGTAAATTTAAAATTTTCAAATTGGTCAATTTTACATAAACTAGAATTTTGCTTATTCCGGTAATCAATTGAAAATTTGCAAAATCAACAATCATTTCTCTATAATTTTTCTCTTTTTTTTTTTTTGCCTCACGTGTTGTGCTGTCTTAGTACAACAATGCATATAGAAGTTTGAGTAATTTTTCAGAGAATAAAAAAGAAAAGAAAAAAGATTCACCGTTAAATTTAAAAATTACATTGACAGATGATGCTAGATTAGATGATAACAAAAGATTCATCGTTAAATTTAAAAATTACAGAGACAGATGATGCAAAATTAGATAATAATACAACCATTTTCGTGTTCGAATAAGGAGCAGTATACCTAAGCAGCTGACCTTTGGCCTCAGTAATATGGGTTATAATGTAAAAAAATGATGATTACAAAAGATGTATTTAGTATGCCATCAAGGAATCATGAAATGAAATTTATATTTTGTCTAATAAATAAAAATAAACGTGAAATGGTCTTTTTAACCGCATGATCAAGGCCAAAAGTGAAAAATATCATTATATAAATATTTAAATTAAATGAGATTCAGTATATTTATATATCCATATGTTTAATTCATATAAGCTTAAATTCAGATTATATAGCCAAATTATGTAATAAAAATACCTCATTTATTGGCAACTTCTTAATATAAGAATTAAATAATAATTTACGAATATTAAAAAAATTATTAAATTAGTAATTTATAATAAACGGATACTGCCATTTTTGAAATACCTTTATTAATCATGTACATTAGAATGAAAATCCTTTAACATATATAATTATCATGAAAATTATTTTAAAAAAACTAAATATAAAACACAAAATGAATTCTGATCTTATAGTTAAGATCAGATCAAATCTCTAATGAGTTCTTATATTTTAAACCAGAGATAGTAATTTTACTTGTTTTTATGCTAAAAGTATTCAGTATATCTCACAATTATTTGGAACTTCACATTCAATAGAAAATCATTTGAATAACCTATATATATATATATATATAATCTAAAAAATAAAAAAATAAAAAAGTAAATCAATCCCAACTCGTAAACCTGAGACATGACTTTCCCTGATAAAACGAACAGACACCATTTCTGGGAAAATCCAAGTAAAGGAGTCGATTTCCAATTCCACGTTCGGCGACCCATCAGAACCCAAAATTAATTACACGCAGTAAAAAGCTGAAAAAGTTGAAAAAGCACTATGACATTGGGGACAGTCTCATCATAATTATTTCACATATTGTCCAGCAACCTATAATTAATTAATTAATTGAACTAGCAGTAGATCTCAACATGAAAAAAAATATAATACCAGTAATTCCTAAAATACTTGAATTTTATAGACACTTGAGATGATCAGTCTAAACAAAGAAACACATATTTAACTTAAAAATTAAATTTCTGGGGAGAAAATCATATAGTTACAAGTGGAAGTTCACTGTGTTATTATTCATCCTCCTCCATTAATTTCCTAAGGTATTTATATATATCATATTATATATCATATATAAAGCCATGCAAATTGCCCTCTCATTCATTTTCATTCATTCTCTACCCGCTTGAGAAGAACAGTGAGCTTGATGTTGCCGACGGACTTGTCCTCTGATTCTGATACGCCGTTTGTTGCCGGAAATAGTCCGGTGGAGACACCGCCACCGTCACCGACGACATCGCCTGAGCTCCAGAATCCGGAGGAGATCCTGCAAAATCATCCCAGAAAATTAAAAAAAGAGGGACTATGTCGGAAAAAACTAAATGTCGACAACAATCAACATGTTGGTTATAATTAATTTAATTCATACCCTCAGAAATACCTACAACTTCAACTAAGCTTACTTTATTTTCAATGTTTATCCTTAAAAAAGTGCTTTCTGAGTTGACTCATAAATTCAGCTACAATTTTTCTAGAACACAACCCAAAATTTAAACTCTTGAAACTCTGATGTTTAAGAAAAACGAAATATCTTCACAACGTGTTCTAAAGATGAAAGCTTTTTATTATCTGCTTACTTGCAACACTTTCAAAAGTAGAATTTCGTGAGTCGTCGATCTGGGTTTTGAGGATTTCTTGATTTGGCTGCTGGGTTTTTCTTCTGCGACGATTATGATCTGCCAGTCTCTTCCTGCAGCTTCGTTTTCCGTTGTCAAACTCAGAAAGAAGATGGAACCTGCAAAAAAAGGGAAACCATGCACACACACACAAACACAAATATATAAATTACTTCGTCTTTGTCTTTTCTTTTTTTGCTCAAACAGGCGGAAGAAAAGGATCATAAATTAAGTATAATTATGAATGAACGTGTTGTGACAGTTTAATAATGATGCATTCACAATAAGTAGCAAAACGATGCAGTACGTAAACTGAGAATGGAAACCAGATGTTAAAATTTAAGGGACGCAAATGCCCTCGGGATTTCCCCCATGTACGAACGGGGGGGTCAATCATTGTTCAAATCAAGGTCCTCACGAGGGCATTTCCGTCTTCTCACATGGCTTCCTTGCTCCCTAACCATTCTGGGAAAGAAGCAGGAGAGTCACATCATCGTGTTTCTCTGCTTTGTGAGTGCGTTTTGAAGAAGGTTATGCAGGCGAGCAGAATGGTGAATGGAAATAGCTAGGGGTTGATGAGAAGGATATTTCTGTCTTTTCGAAACACACGAATGGGTTTCTTTCTTTCTTGCTTCCTTCTTCGTGTTACTGAGAAAATGGGTTTAATTTCATGTATGGATGGAATCAATTGTTCAGTTTGTTTTCTGTTTCTAATTGCACTAATACCATAAGAAGCAAAGGCAAGAAAGTACGAAAGAAAAGGAACCAAGAGGGAAATTTCCCTCCGGACGTAAATGCCCTCGGGATCTGCCCCTTGTACGGGGACGAAGCCAATGATTGGCTTCGAAGGGCCCAAGTCCGAGAGGGGTAATTCCGTCAGTTCAAACTACAACCTGCTACACTGTTGGCAGAATCGCTGTGTCAAGCCAGCGGCGATGACGGTGGCCGCCTTGGAATGAAACTCGCACACCTTGTGACGCCGGTGGTAGTGCTTGGCGTGTGATAGATCGGCATTACAGCCCTCGGCTTGGCAGCGAGGCGAGTTCGTCGCCATCATCATTGAGCCCGGTTCGGCCGGCCTGGACCGGCGGTACAGCCGGCTCACGAAGTCATCCTCCGACGATGAGAAGTACGTGCGGCCACCAAGGTTGAGCCCAATTCTCGACGCCGAGAAGTCACTGGACCGACCCAAGTCCTCGGACTTGGGAACAACCATAAACCCACCAGGCCCACAGTGGGCGCCGGCGTTGACTGTCTGAAGCGGATCAAGAGAGAGCATGGAAGGAGGAGGAGGAGGCTGTGGCGGAGGGAACGAAGAAGAGGACGCGCCAGGGAAGGCGCGTGGGTCAAAGAAAGAGTGCTGAATGTTATGGTGGTGGTGGTGATGGTGGGGTTGAGGAGGGCTGAACTGGTAGTGAGAGAAATCAGCGGTGGAGCTGGCGGTGGTGTGTTGTGTGGGCCCTGCTGGCTGCTGGTGATGAAGGAGCTGCTCCGGCAATAAGGAATGAGAAGTGTAGTGGTCGAAGATTTGCCGGTGGGTCTGGTCGGAATCTGCACCAGTGGTAACACCAGCTTCTTCGTTGCCGGCGAGCACTATCGTCGACGGAGGGTTCCCCCATTCGTATCCCAACATCTCTCTGCCCCCCTCTCTCCCAGAGGAGGTCCACCACGACGACGCCGTTTCTGGCTGCCGAACACAATCCCACCTGCGAAACCACAAGCTTGCTCAGTGAGAAGAAAGCTTGGCCCCCTTTAATTGTTAATTGTTTAAAGTTTCTTCCACTCATATACATATATAGATATATATATATATAAAGGGTTTTAAAGAGAAGGGAAGAGAGTGACCTAGGGCAGTATGAAACTGAGTGAAGTGAGATTCGGTGGGAAATATCAAAAACCCTAATGTGCAGGCTCTACCTAAGCTACAACTTCCATCTGGGTCTCTCTGGTTGCCTCCTTACACACTCTAATGGCGTGTCCACTAAGTCTTTCTCTCTCTCCCCCTCTCTCTCTGTGTTTCTGCGACTATATGGATGAGTGTTTAAAAGATCTCACTTTCACCGTCTAAAAGCTGAACCCTTTTGCCCCTTCTCTCTCTACCTATCTATCTTTCTTTCTCTCTCCACAGAAATAAGTTTCATTAAGCTTTCTCATCTTCTCTCTCTTCTCTTTCTCCCCGTTTGTGTTGTGCTGGTGTAAAGGGAAACTGAGTTATATGAGGCGGCTTCTGCAGACAGAGGGGGTGATTGGGGGTGAAGTGTACTGCGAACGTAGGTCTGAAATTACAGTTTTATCCATGGGAAGCTGTGCTTTATTACGACAGGCCAGTGAAGAGGAAAGCTTTAATTCGATGCAGGGGAGACAGAAAAAGGAGCGAGAATCTGAACTAGGAGAAACAGTAACAAGTGGATGCCTGAAAACATATAACCGGCAAGTTAGCAAGAGGAGGTTGATTTAGTTATATATTTTTAAAATATCATTAATTTTTTTCTTAAAAAATATATATTAAATAAAAGTAAAAATGACTTTATAAATAGGATTAAAACAGCATCTATGTATACACGCACTTCATCCCATTCTCATTATAAGTCACTCCAAATTGAGAAAGGATTCTCTCACATTTCATTCACATCCTCTTCCTTTTTTAATCATAAGATCAACATTTGAATAGTTTAAATTTTATTTTTTTTTCAATTTTTATAGCAGTATGAAATTAATTAATTATTTTTATTTTATAATTTATCATTTTGATAATAATTTTATAAAAGATCAAATCTTTACCATTCAAATATTGATCTGATGATTAGAAAACGAACAAAGGAGGGAACAGGATCATTTCACTAGAACGAAGGAAGAGCAATTAACTGAATAAATTTACCTTAAAGTTAAAAAGCGGATTGAAGAAAAATAGACAAAAAGGGAATATAAGAGAAATAATTTTTTTAATAATTTGCAACGGGGGTTAAAATTAAAAAATATTAAGTATTTGATAACTATTTATATGACTCATATTAAGAATCATGGATATATACAAGATATATATATATATATATATATATATATATAAGTGATGGATGGATGGGCGGTGACTTAAATGGTCAAAAATGTTTAGTGAGAAGAAGTGGGGAAGTAATGAGAAGGTAAGAGCCAGAGATGAGAAGGGGGGAAGGGGGGTAGTGTTAATCTCACGCCAGAGGGCATTAAGTTTCTGTGACCCCACCACCCCTTTGTCTTCGTCTCCGGCCCAACACAAGAACAAGTTCGTCATCATTAATAATTCTCTTCCACGAGCTTCGTGGATTAAAATTGCCGTGTTATTTCATGCACGTTTTCTTTTTTAAATTGAAAATATAAATACTAACCACTTCAAATTAAAGATGCAATTTTTCATTTAAATAAAAACTTTCATATCAGTATATTATAAATCCAGTGCTCATATGTGTTTTTTTTTTTTTTGAATTATTCACACCTTGCAAATATTTTTGGTTTGAAAAAGATCAAATTCCATTAAAGATTTTATATTTTTATCGTATTTATTAAAAGCTAGAAGTTTGAAAAAAAATTAAAAATTTAACAACACGCCACAAAGTTTATCTGGATAAAAATTGGATCGGCATAAAATTTTGAACCAATGGATTATTGAATTGGGTCAAACTATTTTTTTTTTAAAAAAACATGGAGTTTAAATCATTCATCGCTAATGATAGGCTATCATTTTGTCGGACACGTACTGCTAATGAATCAACTAGTGGTTCAGATTTTAGACAACAAATTGTTACACAATTTTCAAAAATGAAGTATCATTGAGGATATATATATTATGGCCTATTATCACTCAAAAGGACATAATTTTAATTTTTGAGACCTTGATAAAAAAAAAAATTCTATGTTTGTATACATGTTTGAGTTGTGACTATTTAAATATTTTGTCAAAAATAGTATTATTTAAATAAAAGGGAATTAATCTGCAAGTAAAAGAAATATTTATGTATAAATTACATATACGTTGAAAAGAGAGGTGCTATGCTAATGTGAGAGGCTCATCTGCCTAAATTTTTTTCTACGCGTAGGTATAATTGCTAGTGGACGATACGCTACAACTCGAAAAAAAAAAAAAAAAGCCTGAGTTGTACCTTTAAAAACTAAATTTCAACAATAATTAGTTTGTGTTTTTTAGGGGAAAAAATTACTCCTCCGATTCTAAATATAAGACTCTTATACACACTATAAAAAGGGTATCATATTTAGGACCAGAGGAGTACTTTATAAGATAATTAATAATGTATATTACTCCTCTGATCCTATTCATAAGTTATTTTTAGCATGTTTCACACAGATAAAGGAAAATCTTAAATTTTACTAACTCTCAGTTAAAATTTAATAACTTTTCAACTTTATTCCTATTTAATATACATCATACCTTATGTACATTCATACAAAAAAAAAATTTTTAGTGCCCTATAAATAAGATCAAAAAATGTTTTCTTTCTTTGCCATATAAATAGGACCAGAAGAGTATAAATCATGGATCTTCAAGTGTCAATTACATCTCCCTTATTTATTTGAATTCGAATTTGAATCCTCATTACTTTGTTGCTTTTGATTATTACAAGACACTTACAATTTTTAGGAAACATTTAAAGCGACTGGTGTTGAACACGCAGGTACTTGTGCTGTGTTATTTTAGTGTAAGTAGATATAATTTCACTGCTAAAAGTTTGAAACCATGTGATTATTGGTTTTTTTTCCTTTGTTCTAAGCTTGCTTTATTTAAAAAAATAAGAGACTTTAGCCACACTACACCAATCAAAACCCTCTGATATAATTATTTTTTGTCAATTAACTTGAAAATTTATTATTTAAGATCTTAAAAAAAATTTTGGTAAGAAGATCTTAAATCTTTAATTTAATTGTATAGTTAATCATAATCACCCTATTCTTCATAACGGCTCTTTAATTAACTAGTTAACCAGTTTTTAACCAAAAAGTCTTGATATGTTTAGACATTATTAAAGGGAAAAAATATCGATTCTAACATAACAAGCCCCCATCATTATGACGAGATCTTGATCTACTCAGAATTATTGTTGGCATGATAATAAAGTGCAATTTTGAATTTTCTGAATTTTTTTAATCAGAGGGACAAGAACTACTAATAATCTGTGATTATAAGCTAGATCAAACTCATAATTTTCTATTTATAAGAGAGCCTAATACTTTATTGGACTACAAGGTGGTTGGCATTTTTTTTATTTTTTATACATACAATAAGAAGAATATTTCATCCTATCACCAGCTTCAAGTGACTTTTGTTGAATTAATATATAGGGTAAATGGCTCTTGAAAATCCGGTTTGTTAACTAATCTCATATGCGATCATTACAAAATAAAAAACAAAAGTATTGGGACAGTTATATAAGAATTCACATTAATTAAAGAATATTTAACATTTTTTAATTTGTTCATTTTTTTGTGGTAAGATTAATTTGTTCACTTTAAAGTATCAAATTACCTTAGTTACACATATTCTTTACAGTTTCATGCTCAAACCCCATTAAAAAAAAAAATAGTGAAGTTTCCTTGCTAAAGGAAAAGGAAAGTTTTTATCTTAAGAAATTAAAGGAGAAGTTTAATAAAACATGCATTGAAGAGATGTTAATTTAATTTGTTCCTATGTGTACTACCATAGCTTAATTAGATTCAAAATCTTAAAATCTATGGAACCCATAAATCCACTTATTTTATGGCAACTAAAGTCTCATTCATAAATTCTTTAATTTTTAGTCTTACTATAACTATTTGATACCTCATGCTATATGTTAGATTAAATTTAAGAATTATTTTTGGCAAATAAAATTTTTAACATATATAAAAGCAAACGCTCTAAATCATCACGATTATGAAGTTGATGTAGTGTGCCATTATTGGTCCCAACATGAAGGTAAAATATATTAGTCGGGAACAATTTAACTTTGTTTTAAACATTTCGAATAAGATTATGAAGCTTAGCTCACTATTAGAACAAAAACTATGAGAAATTATACAATAAATCATATGAATCATTCATCACACAAAATTCATATGAAGTACAAAATCAAAAATCTAGTTTATAATATTAGGGTTGTGTTACTAACTAAGCTCTGGTACAGTTGTTTTTTTTTTAGTTATTTTTTGCCAACTTTTTTAAAACTGTTTTTCTTACTCTTATATACTACCTCCGGTCCTAATTATAAGAGTCAGTTGATTAATTTAAGAAAATTAAGAAAAGAAGTTAAGTTAGTTATTTGTAATAAATAAGTGTTGTCTTTCTTAAAATATTCTTACTAATCAAGTATGTTGGTTAAAACTATAATTATTAGAAGGACTATCTTGAAAAAAATTGAGTAAATCTTAGAGATAAAATGGATTGAGATCTTATATTTAGGACCAATATAAAAATCAAACGAAGTCTTTTATTAAAGACCGAAGATAGTATTTCATATTTGAAAGCACTGTGAACAAGGACGTGGTTAGGGTCTAGATTGGTCCTCAATTTTCACGAACAATCCTGTGAGACGTTAAACTCGTGTGTGTGTGTGTGTAGCGCACGCGAGGGAGATTAATAAAAACAATTAAATTAAGAAATTAAACTTTGACTATACATACAATAATAATAACCAACATCATATATAATACCACCTCTAGTTCTTAATATAAAAGCTAGTTAACTAATTTGAGTAAATTAAGAAAATATTTTAAATTAGTTATTTATAATAAATATATATTACTTTTCCTAAACTATCCTTGCTAATCAGATGTATTAACTAAAACTACTATTACTACAAAGACTATCTTGGATAAAATGAATAAATATGAGGATAAAGTAGATTGGAATTTTATATTTAATTTAGGACCAAAATAAGAGCCAAACTAACTCTTATATTAAGAAGCAGAGGAAGTATTTACCTGTGACATAGTTGGGTTAAAGAATAAAGAATTCAACATCCTTGTGTTAAAAAAAATCACAATATGAATAGTTTTCCTTAATAATATTGAATACATACTGTAATTTGTTACTGAAACGTTTTTTTTTTTAAAAAAAAAAGCTCTTAAATTATTCTTTTTCCACAAGGCAAATCCATCTACATATGAATCACCCCAGAGAAAGAAAACTACTAATTAACTAAATAAACCAATTAAGAAGTTGAAAGAAAATTGCATGAGAAAAAAACTAATGGCAATCAGGTTAAGATCAATTTGATGAATATCATGAAAATGGGAAAAATCACATTGAAAGAGTTTTCTTTAATTGA